TGAATGTACAAATGTGCTTTACACAATTGATGTGTGTATGGATTGTGATAAGAGTTGTATGAGCCCCTAATAAAATGATTTAAAAAAAGAAGAAAGAGGTTTTTATACAAGAGCAATTGATTATTGAGAAAACATCCTAGCCCAGTGCAAATCAAGTCCATAAGTCCGACATGAGCCCATATGCCTGGTCCCAATCTATAAAGCTCTCTTCAGATTCATGGAACACATGTAATGATGCCAAATGCAGGACTATCACAGGCCAGTGGGCGGAAAGTCTCGCTGACAGGGGTCCCTTCGTGGCTTCTCAAGCTCAGGGCACTAGTGTAATTCCAGTGTCTTGTTAGTAGAGAGTCTCTCTAGGTGTCAGCAGAGAAAGAGACAGACAGAGTTTCCCCCCTCCAAGGAGGAATACAGGAGTTCCCAGAATCCTTAGGGGAAGGCCATGCCCACACAGAGGCCTCATTGGCTATCACCTGATTGACAGGCTAGACTCTACCCCTTCATTCTTAATCCTCTCAAATTGACAAATGATTATATAACTACCACAGAACTACCCCTTGTCAGTTTGACACTTTCATACAACTCTTTAGCCATATGCAATTTTCAAGCAAACAATAATAAAATCATATCTGTACCTAACAGGATAAAACTAAAATGCATACAATTCAATATATGCCACTCTTATTTAAATATAACATTCTATAAGTGAATAAAACAAAAATATCCTACGTTTAACAATTGCAAATATTCTCATTTACATCTTTATATTATTATAGAAATCTCTATTTTAACAAATAACAGCTTTTTAAAAAGTGACTGCATATTATAATATACAACTATCATTTTCAAATTCATTAAGTGTATTGTGTTACCATTACTTTTAAAATATCACAATGATGGACATTTAGGTTATTTTCAAGTTTTATTTCAATGAAAAAATCCATATAGAGATCTGTTTACAGTGTGGTGAATTCCATCCTGGGGATGGAATAGCTGGACATGACAGAGTATATACATATTGATGTATGTGTATCTTATGCATATGTGATATTATTGTATTACACTTTAAAATTCAAGTCAATTTGCTTCTAAACATTTATAAATTTAAAATCCTTAGTTTTTATTTTTTGAGGTTTTTAAAAATCATTTTATTGGGGACTCGTACAGCTCTTATCACAATCCATACATACATCCTTGTGTCAAGCACATTTGTACATGTTGCCATCATCATTTTCAAAACATTTTCTTTCTACTTGAGCCCTTAGTATCAGCTCCTCATTTTTCCCCTCCCTGTCCCACCCTCCCTCCCTCATGAACCCTTGATAATTTAAATTTTGTTTTTTCAAGTTTTACACTGACCAATGTCTACCTTCACCTACCCACTTTTCTGTTATCTGTTGTGTTAGTCTGGGGAGACTAGAGAAACAAATCCAGGGACACACAAAAGTGTATAAGAAAGATATTTATATACAAGAGCAATTGAACATTGAGAAAACATCCCAACCCAGTCCAATCAAGTCCATAAGTCTGATACCAGTCACGAAACACGTGCAGTGATGCCGAATGTAGAAGATCACAGGCCAGTGGGTAGAAAGTCTCTGGATCCAGTGGCATTGGAAACATCTCAGCACTGGCAGGGGTGTCTGCATCAGGGTGGGTCCATGTATCTTGTCAGCTGCTATGTCTCCTAGGGAGTGAGAGAGAGTCTCCCACCTCCAAGGAGGAAATACCAGATTTCCCAGAATTCTCATGAGAAGGTCATGCCCACACAGAAGCTTCATTGGCTATGATCCAATTGACAGACTATGACAGACTAGACTCCACCCCTTCGCTCGTAATCCTCTCAAATTGACAATTATATAACTACCACATCCATCCCCCTAGGAGGGGGTTATATGTAAGTCATTGTGATTGTTTTCCCCTTTCTCCCCCCACCTTCCCCTTACTGTCCTGGTTTTGCTACTCACAGTATTGGTCCAGAGGGGTAATCTGTCGTAGATTCCCTGTTTCCAGCTTTTCTTTTATTTACTTTTATTGGGGGCTCTTAGCATCTCATCACAATCCTTACATTCCTCTAATGGGTCAAGTACATTTGCACATATGCCGCCATCATCATTTTCAAAGCATTCTCTTCCCACTTAAGCCCCTGATATCAGCTCCCCATTTCTTCCCCCTCACTCCCCCATCTGCCCTCCCTCACAAGCCCTTGATAAGTTATAGATTATTTTTTCCATATCTTAACATCGCCCTCCATCACCCCATACCCACTTTTCCATTATTCATCCCCCTGGGAGGGTGTTCTAGGTTGATCCTTGTGATCGATTTCCCCTTTCTCCCCCTTCTCTCCCCTAATCCTCCTGGTATTTGTACTATCATTGTTGTCCCTGAGGGGTTTATCTATCCTGCCGTGTTGCTGGCTCTTACGTGTAGCAGTGTGCATGCTCTGGTCTAATCTGACTTGTAGAATTGGGGTCATGATAGTTGGCAGGGAGGAAGCATTAAAGAACTAGAGGAAAGTTGTGTGTTTCATCGCTGCTATACTACACCCTGACTGGCTCTTCTCTTCCTTGTGACCCTTCTCTAAGGGGATGTCCAATTGTCTACAGACGGGCTTTGGGTCTCCACTCTGCCCTCCCCCTCATTCATATTATAAGATTTTATTCTGAGTCTTAGATGCCTGATACCTGACCCCATCGACACCTCATGATCACAGGCTGGTGTGCTTCTTCCATGTGGACTTTGTTGCTTCTGAGCTAGATGGCCGCTTGTTTACCTTCAAGCCTTTAAGACCCCATACACTGTAACTTTTGATAGCCGGGCAAGCCTTAGTTTTGTTGTTGACCCCTGGAACCACTGTATTTATGTATATTTGCCTTCAGGGAAATTAGAAATAGTACAACCCTCTCTTGGCTGGATACAACATCTAATCACTCTGAGCAACTCTGCGCTTTAAAAACATTACTCTACTGACTTACTCTAATATATTGAGAATGAAATATTTTTTATATTAAAGGACACAGACACAACAGTATATATTAAAGTTCTAATTTTATTGCTTCTCATATATATATATATAAGATTAAATATATGTTCACAATTTGGGATAGAGGGACTATTTTAGGTTTTTTCTCTTTAATGCTTATTGGTTTGTTTGGGGTTTTTTTTTTTAGGTTAGAAAGATAATAAATACTTGTATAAAATTCAATATTCTTTAATAGAAGTATGTTTGACATTACTTTTATTTTTAATGTATGTTTTCTTTATTAAGAATGCGACACTACAAGCAGAGAAGCAAGCGTTGAAAGCCCAGCTGAGGCAGCTGGAGACCCAGAGCAGTAATGTGCAGGCCCAGATGCTCGCACTTCAGAGACAGACCGCGTCATTACAGGAACAAAATACCACTCTGCAGACACAGAATGCCAAGCTCCAGGTGGTGATATAATATTTGGGGGATATGCTATTAAACTAGGGAAAATAAACTAGACATAAGAGCATTAGTATATTTACTAAGTGAAGATAAGTTAAAATATTTGTAATTAGTACCTTGCCAAGTTTTCAAATTTTAACATCATTTAAATGGTAGAGCCTCTTAAACATTAATTAATTCCTTCAACAAGTAGGGTAAAATAGAGTTTTCCTTATATTTACTTTGTGATCTCCCCCTCGCTTCAGTCATGCCCTTGTCATGGAGTAGACTCGAGTGGGGTTCATGGTGCGGTTCTCATCAGAGGTCACTGGGGGATTTAGCACTGGATCTACACATCGGACAACTCAACAGTTGACTCCTGGCCAGAGCAGTTGAGCCGTCATCAGCACGATCAATTTTAGAACATTTTAAAATTGTGGCATAAGTATACACAGCAAACGTTCTCCAGTTCAACCACTTACAGTGTGTAAAACCAGTGCCACTGATTATTCTCTTCATGCCGTAAAACCATTATTGATGTCCCTCTCCACATTATTTCCACCACCAAGAATGCTATCTTTTGACTTAATAGTTCGTAATTGCCAATGTCTTTTTAAGTAGAACAGTCTAGATAGAGAAAAATGCTGCTCTTTGAAACTTCTAAAGATGAAAAGAAATCTCTCTGAATCTAAAAGTTCTGTAATCCTTTTCCAAGTCGTAATGCAAATAGTAATTTCGTTTAAACTCTTTGGAAAAGCTTGTTTTCAAAAGTAATTTTTCAGTCTATTAACCTGCAAATTGTAGAAAATGATAAGCTATATTTGTAGCTCTGTACTTTTCCAATATGTGGCTTTTTAACCGTTATTTAAAATAAATTTAAACGTGTGTATATACATAACACACATTTTAAAACATAAATCAAAAAGGTAATCTTTATGAGCCCCTAATAAAATGATAAAATTTTTTTAAAATTTAAGTTAATCGTGGACAAGCTTAAGTCCAAATTTCCCTGGTGTAATGTGAACACATACGACATGACTTACTTAGAACTTCCTAAAGTTTATGCATTGTTATATTTTGTCTTATAAAAGAACATGTCTGATGACAATATCCATCCTCGCAGGTTGAAAATTCAACCCTTAATTCTCAAAGTACCTCCCTTATGAACCAGAATGCACAGCTCCAAATCCAACAATCGTCCTTAGAAAATGAACATGAATCTGTAACCAAGGAAAGAGAAGATCTGAAGTCTCTCTATGAGTCTCTCGTCAGAGACCACGAGAAGCTAGCACTTCTTCATGAGCGACAGGCTTCGGAGTATGAATCCCTCATCACGAAACATGGCACTCTGAAGTTGGCCCACAAAAATCTTGAGGTGGAGCATAAAGATCTCGAAGATCGGTAATTTTTCATGTCATCTTACGTTATTAATTTAAACCACTTTTCTCCAAATAGTGCAATAAGTTAGTTGTGTTATAAAGGTCTGAGAAATAATTTATGTATATAGTTTATAAATGTACACATTTTGTATGATATTTATTAATTTTGTTTCTGCAATTTCTAAAATATTTTTTCTTGAAGAAATATACACTATCTTTTTTCCCCAGTTATAATCAGTTACTAAAACAGAAAGGACAACTGGAAGATTTGGAAAAAATGCTCAAAGTAGAACAGGAAAAAATGCTGCTTGAAAACAAAACCCATGAGGCGGTGGCTGCAGAACACAAGAGGCTGTGCGGAGAACATGACCGGTAACACATGAGTTTGTGCATGTCTGGATGTCCCATACAGGCCATGGACTGCCTCTGTGCAGTACCAAGCATAATTTGTCCTTAAACTTTGAAGAAGTGGAATAGAGTATCTGTATAATTTCTTCTGCAGCTAAAAAAAGACAGCGGGAAAATTCCATAGCTAGTTATGGAATGCTCAGGAAAGAACCTTGCTCTATGTTTTCTCATAGTACTTCGTTTTATTCAACTGAGTATGTTTTTAAGTTATATTTTATGATAACATTTCTATATCTTGATAGTATTTACTTTCTTTGTTGACACAGAATTTAATGGGACCTGATTTTTTGTGTCTTGCTTTTCACTAATCTGATAAACCACTTCTTGTCTTTTCAAATTGCTAAAGAGTAATAATTTCTTGGCTGATGGATGTGTACTTCTTTGTAACTGTCTTGTGTGATAATGGTCTCATGTTGTCATAGGGCAGTTATTTCTTAATGGACACCCTGGGATAGCAAAACTCTTCAACTGTTCGTCTCTTTATAAATGCTAAAGCTACTTTTTAGAAACTTCAAAAGTTTTTCAATAGCCTAAACATTTACACAATTATTATGGCTGAGACAGCTGTGCACATAGTAATTCATACTGGGTTCAGTAATCATTGTGATCTGAGTCTCACATTGGATTGTAGAAGGTCTGAATCCTCTGTGAAATAAACTGGATTGGTTGTGGGGTTTTTTCTATTTAAATTTTATATGTTAAAACTATCAAAATATTTTGAGACCAGAATAGAAACTGATCATAATCAGTTTGGTAACTGGTAAAATAATCTTTTTATGTTGTGCACACATGTGTGTCAAATTTAATATTGTGTAAGTTAAAATGAAAGCTACTAACAGACTCTACATTTTACTCCATTGTGATTTTTAATTATAGGTTGACTCATACATATAGTCAGCTTTTGAAAGAAACTGAAATTTTACAAACGGACCATAAAAATTTGAAGAGTCTTCTAAATAATTCCAAACTGGAACAAACAAGATTAGAGGCTGAGTTTTCTAAGCTAAAGGAACAATACCAACAGTTGGATATCACATCTACCAAGCTGAATAACCAGTGTGAGGTGAGCTTTGACAAGTGAAATCGCTGCTGCTTTCTGTATGCATCAAGGCCTTTCTAAAAGTAAACCATGGTACAATGACAGCGGCCGTCTACAGGAGCAATTAGTGGGTGTTTTCTAAAAGACTTGGTCAGGGATAATTGAAATATAACTTAGATAAAAATTATTTTATCGTTAATTTTAGCTTTTTTTCACCATTGATTTTCCTTGCTCTGTCAAGATGATGTACTTGTTATGAAGCAGATCTTTATTCGTTCCCTGATGTACACCACTGAACTAAAGAGACAAAAAGCCATGGCCGTGCTGAGCTTATATGCCATTGGATAGAAACAGAAAACAAACATGATAAGTGAAACACAGTGCTCCCGTGATTACAACCGTGTAACAAAATAACCTGAAAATGGAGTGGGATAAAACAGTCATTTATAAGACGCACTTAGCCATCAGCACCTTCTGGCACCCAGTGCTCACGAATTCTGTTGGTTGGGAATTCAGCAAGGACAGTAGGATGCTGTCTTGGCTCCACGGGGCCCCTGCTGGAAGAATGGAAAGCTGAAATCATCTGCAGTCCCTGCCACTCCCTCATCACATAGATGCTGGCTAACAGGTGGAAACATTAATCCTCTCCCCCTGGCCTCCTTTGGACTTTACCACAATATGGTGTTTGGGTTCCAGGGAAAAGAAAACCAGATAAAAACCTCACAAGTCATGCAACATTATTTCTTCTGGGTTCTGTTCATCATGGCCGTCCTACAGTTCTATCCCAGAGAGGGAGAAGTAAACTCAGACCTCTCCTTAGTTCTGACACCAGGCAGTCCCACCGTACAAAAGGAAAACCAGCAGTTTTGATGCTGTCGGAGGTTGGCCTGATTTGGAGCAGAGCACAGAAAAGGTCCATGCTTAGAAGAGTTGTCAAAATATAGTTCTCAGCATGATATTATAATTCTGCTTGGACAAACAATAGACCACCAGACAGACTAGTCAGATGTGTAAAATGAGACAGCCATTGTAGGTCTCGGTATACCTTTGGTCTGTAAAGCTACTCACCACCACCACCCAGCGCTGTTGGCTCCATCCCGATCCCGAGAGGCCCTGTGCTCCATGTGGGGTGGCCAGGGCTGCAGAAGACTCCATCTGAGTGGCCACTGAAAGGCTGCTCTTGTCTTACATCTTACCTAGATTCACTAATATCTTATCACATCTGCTGTATAAATCTCTCTCGTTATATATTCCCCATTTTTCTCCCAGAGCACTTTGAAAGTCTGTTACATAGATGTATTGTTAATGAATTTCTTCAGGGTGCCTTTCATAAGAACAAGACCATTGTCTTAGACAACCACAATATCATTTGTCAGTGTTTAGGGAAGTTATATAAATATATACCATATTCATGTTCCCATTTTTAACTTATCCCTATAAGGGCTTTTTGTAATTCTCTTGCCCTTTCCAGTCCAGGGTCACTTTTAAAATTTAGTTAACTATAATGTTTCTGTAGTCTTATTTAATCAGAGAAATTTGCTTAGTCTGTCTTTGTATTTTATTATATGGATTTTTAAAAAATATTAAAGGCCAGTTATTGAATATAGTGTTTTTTTTCATTTTGGACTTTTGTGGTATTCTCTGGTATTTAGGTCCAGGTCATACATTCCTGACCAGAATGCTACATGAGTGACTTTATAGCCTCCTCAGTGATCAGTCACTTAGGAGCCCTCGTGGCCTGGTGGTTGTGCATTGGCCTGGGATCCTCAAGGTATCAGGTCAAGACCACCAGTTTCTCCGAGGGTAGGTAAAGAGTTGTCCTGCCTACCCCTCTGCTGTTTATTTTGGTTAATCAACGTGTTTTCCGGTTACTCCAATGTATAGTTAAGTATTTCCACAACTGCAACTAGTAACAATCTTTAAGCAAACACTTAAAGACCAAGCAAATACCCTGCCAAAATCCATCTTTTTGAATGCAGATAAAACATCCCATTTTATTTTTCTGCTCTCCTGAGTAAACATCCCCATCTTGTGGACTCTCAAAAAATTTCACGAAGGTTCACTTTTCCTTTTTAATTTTTTCCACATTTATTTATAACCACAGCAGGTTTTTAAATTATGAATTTATGTCAGTAATTTGTACATTCGTTATATGACCTAATGAACAATAAAACAACATTTCATTGTTGGTTGTATTTAATTTTATCTTTATGGTTGTGCCCTTGGTAGAGAGAGATTTCAGTTGAAGTAGTGAAGGGCTTTGTATTTCAAAATTGTAAATTATTAGGGCAGTTGATTACTCTATTTCATCATTGAAATAAGAATTCATCTTATTTCATATTTTAAAAATGTGTTCTTAGTGGTATGTAAAAAGGTGTGTTTAATAGTATGTCAGCTTAAATTTGTTGCGGTACCTTTCTGTTAATAATTTCTTTAGACGGGAGGGCAGGCAGAGAAAAAAATAAATAAATAATTTCTTTAGAAAGAATCAATACCAAACTAGTTGCAAGGAGTTGGGGGTTGAAAGAGTGCCCACAGCCCAACATCTTCCCTGCACGCCTCCATGGAGTTGGCTCCCTCGAGTCCCTGGGTTCTTTGAATCACTGCAGTGACCCCACGGAACCCAAGAAAGTCCCAGGACATGTCTTACATAGGGGTGGGTGCTCTTCAGTCCAGAGTCCGAAGTCAGGCCAGGATAAACCAGATGTTGGGGCCAGAAGACGGGCTCCTTTCCTGGCTCTTGCCAGTGATGAGATCATACCCCCTGCTTCTCAGTGGACTCATACGCAGTGGTATGGCTCATGGGCACATCCTATCAGTATCTTACCCCATGCAGAAAAAAGCCGTGTGGTGAAAGTTACAGACTGCAGTCAAACTTCACTCAAATGTAATAATCTGTTCTCCCATTCCTAGACTGTATCTTACGCAAATGTGGCCTCTGGCAACGTTTCCCATAAGTATTGGCCTCCTGCTGTTCCTCATCCCCGAGGCTCTTTCCCAGGCCACCCTTGAAACAAGCAAGGGGAGAAAAAAACAAAAACAAAAGCCTGCCCAGTATGTAATGAAGGGCATTCATTGTCATTAAGACTGCTAATAGTTATCACTCATGTTCTAATCAACATGTAACTAATTGTTCAAAGAACACAAATCTCAAGGAAGAACTTTGTTTTCCAGATGTGCAAGGCGATTTGTTATCTAACTATTGACTTTGTTAAAAAATGTTTGTATTTAAACAGTTGCTAAGCCAACTTAAAGGAAACTTAGAAGAAGAAAATCGACACCTGTTAGATCAAATTCAGACTTTAATGCTCCAGAACAGAACACTGTTGGAGCAGAATATGGAAAGCAAGGATCTCTTTCATGTAGAACAAAGACAGTACATGTAAGTACTTTCATACTTTAAAATGTTATTCATCATTTATCCCTGAGACTCAGTGGGCAACACACCTTGATGCTAGTTTAACTGATTTGAGACATCATTTTTAAAAAAAATAATTAAATCATTTTATTGGGGGCTAGTACAACTCTTATCACAATCCACACATACATCCATTGTGTCAAGTACTTTTGTATATTTGTTTCCCTCATCATTCTCAAAACATTTGCTTTCTACTTGAGCCCTTGGTATCAGCTCCTCATTTTCTCCCCTCCCTCCCTGCTCCCCCCTCCCCCATGAACCCTTGATAATTTATCAGTTATTATTGTTTTGTCATATCTTACACCATCCGACATCACCCTTCACCCACTTCTCCGCTGTCCGTCCCCCAGGGAGGAGGTTATATGTAGATCCTTGTAATCTGTTCCCCCTTTCTCCCTCACCTTCCCTCCACCCTCCCAGTATCGCCACTCTCACCACTGGGCCTGAGGGGTTCATCTGTCCTGGATTCCCTGTATTTCCAGTTGCCACCAAACCAGTGTCCATCCTCCGGTCCAGCAAGATTTGTAAGGAAAAATTGGTATCATGATAGTGGGTGGGGGAAGCATTCAAGAACTAGAGGAAAATTGTATGTCTCATCATTGCTACACTGCACCCTGACTGGCTCGTCTCCTCCCCGTGGCCCTTCCGCAAGGGGATGTCCAATTGCCCACAGAGGGGCCCCTGGGTCCCCACTCCCTACTCCCCCTCATTCACAATGCTATGATTTTTTTGGTCTTTCATGCCTGATCCATGATCCCTTCAACACCTCTTGATCTCACAAACTGGTGTGCTTCTTCCATGTGAGCTTTGTTGTTTCTCAGTTAGATGGCCGCCTGTTTATCTTCAAGCCTACAGGACCCCAAACTGTATATCTTTTGATAGCCAGGCACCATCAGCTTTCTCCATCACCTTTGCTTATGCACCCACTTTGTCTTCAGCAATCGTGTCGGGACAGGCTGGTGTGCTTCTTCCATGTGGGCTTTGTTTTTTCTCAGCTAGATGTCCACTTGTTTATCACCAAGCCTTTAAGATCCCAGATGATACAGCTTTTGATAGCCGGGCACCATCAGCTTTCTTCACCACATTTGCTTGTGCATCCGTTGTCTTCAGCATGCTAGGAAGGTGAGCATCTCAGACTGCCGAATTGTTAGGACAGTGTTCTTGTGTTGAGGGAGTACTTGAGTAGGGGCCCAAGAGACATCATTCATTTTAACATATATTTGAGCACTGATGTTCCAGGTTCTGTATTAATAACCACACATGTTAAGATGAGTACACAAGGTTCATAGTCTTATGGAATTAGTAACAAATATAAATTAAAATAAACATGTAAAACAATCATTTCTTTAGAAATCTGTGTAGGGGGTCGTAGACATACAGCACATATCAGGGGGAAAATGGTCTTTGTGTAGAAGAGAAGAGGAGGAGGTCCCAAAGATGATTGTTGAGCTCATACTGAAAGGTTCAATGGAAGTTTTCCTGGGACTATCCAGCCAAGGGAACAGCAGATGTAGAAACATGGAGGTGTAAGAATTGAGTATCATCACTGTATTTAGCGATTAAGTGAGCCACTTAGCTCCTACCACCTCAGTGTCCAGTCAGCCTCACTTTGATTAAGCTTAATTCATTTAGGATGGTTCCCATCCTATTCTGACCTCCAGTAAGTAACTGTTAAAGCAATCTGCAAAGATACTTCCTCACCATGTAGTGAAGATTTGTCCTCTGGGCACTCCATGGTGGGGGAGGCTTGTGGGTCCCGCTTGAAGAATTCACTCTTAGGTTCCAATTTCCCTAGGCCTTTGGACACTTCTCTTCTGTAGTATACCAATACAGTTGTGGCATTTCAAGTGTAAGGTGTTGTTATTGTTGTTGTTAGGCGCCGTCGAGTCAGCTCCGACCCATAGCGACCCTGTGCACAACAGAACAAAACACTGCCCAGTCCTGTTCCACCTTCACAGTGGCTCCTGTCCCTGAGACCATCGGTGCAGACACTGTGTCCATCCACCTTGTCGAGGACCTCCTTCTTTACGAAGCATTGTGTCCTTCTCCAGGGACTGGCCTCTCCTGATAGTCTGTTATGTTTCTGTACCTACTACAGAGCCCTGTTCATTGCCGTTGAGTCATTTCTGACTCATGACGAGCCCGTGTGTACGGAGTGAACGTACTCCACAGGCTTTCCAAGGCTGTGACCTTTCAAAAGCAGGTCACCAGGCCCGTATTCCTAGTTACCTCTGGGTGGGTTCGAGCTACCAACCTACTGGCTAGTAATCTACCAAGACACTAAAAATAGACTAGCATGTGGTAAAGTTAATATACTCATGAATTACTAGAGATCATCCTTTGGCAAATAAATTAAGTCTAAATAATTTGACTAAAAGGGGAAAAATATTTGCATAAAGATGTGATGCAAGATTATTATAAAATCTATACTTGTAAGCAGCACAAATACCTACTGTGTTTGCTTGTATGAATCATAATAAACCATGTCTTAGTTATCTATTACATGCTACTACAGTAGAAATACCACAGTGGATGGCTTAACAGACATTCGTTCTTTCCCAGTTGACAGGCTGGAAGTTCACATTCAGCAAGCTGACTCTAGGGTAGCGGGGGAAAGTGTTGTATCTTCTTGGCATCTGTGGCCTAGCATTCCTTAGACACGTGGGTCTTCACATCCGTCTTCCCCTGCAACTGGCTCCCAGGTCCTAAGCGCAGGGGACTCAGGTTCACAGGATGCTCTCCACTCCTGGCTTTTCTTCCTTGGTAGTCTTGGTAGATCCCTCTGATCTACCCTGCTTGCTTTTCTGAGAAAAGATGTTGAAGGCCGTGCCTCAGGGTCACCCCCTTACATCCGCACTGGGCTGTGGCAGGGTTACAGGTGCTGCACTTCTAACGCTCTAATTGTTCACACGGGGGAGGCTCGGGGGCTGCTACAGAACTCCTAGATTACACTATTACCTGTAGCCTAACCTCCGAGAATCCTGGATACGTATTTTGGGAGGACAGTTCGATCCATGACACGAATGTTATGAGTTTATTTAATAACCGTAACAAATGTTGAGAAAGGATTACTGCCATGATGTGTTTATGCAGAATTTTCTTTTAACCAAATTCTGTTGATGGGTTGAAACTTTAGATCTTATATCCCTTTATTTAAGTAAATTCTAAATTTAAGGAAAAGGAAACCAAAAAAAAAATCTCATTGTTTACTCCCTAATGAACTTTCAGGTCTTGTTATCTGTATTTATTTATGTCTTGAGAAGACAGTAGGCCATAATTAAAGAATAATTTATTATTCATAGCAACACAAAATATGATACATGCCCTAAAATGACATTTTTATTTTATAGTGACAAGTTGAATGAGTTAAGACGTCAAAAGGAGAAATTAGAAGAAAAAATCATGGATCAATACAAATTTTATGATCCATCACCTCCTAGAAGGTACCATTAACCAAATTTTACTAATTTTTACTGTGAAAGTTACATATTAAGGCTTTTAATTTTGTAGAGGATTTATAGGCTGAATTTTAAACGGAAGTGGGTTTTTTATGTTTTGTTTTGTTTTTTCTATTAGGAGAGGCAACTGGATTACCCTAAAAATGAGAAAATTGATCAAGTCTAAGAAAGATTTGAACCGGGAGCGTCAGAAATCTCTGACATTAACCCCCACGCGTTCTGACTCCAGTGAAGGCTTTCTCCAGCTTCCCCACCAGGACAGCCAGGACAGCTCTTCTGTGGGTTCCAACTCGTTGGAAGACGGCCAGACGCTGGGGACCAAGAAAAGCAGCAGTGAGTGCTTAACAACTCCTTGCGAGCTGAGGTGTCACTCTAGACGCCTCCATAGAGGGTTCTCTTAAGGATCTGAAACAGTTCTTTGGGAGAATAGTCTGATTCATGGCATTTAAAAAAGATTCCCTATGACCGTAAAATCTCTAATACAAGAGTGCACAACCTCATCAGTTTCTATATTTTGTATTTAGAGCACTATGTATACTATACATAGATGTATTTTAAACTATACAGAAAATAATTAAATACTAAGCATTTGAAGATGTCCAAGAAATTATTAGTTTTATAAAATATTCAAACAAATTTTTAACTTACACTATCACTAGTCATTTTTTAAAATTTATATTGTATATATCACTACCATTCTTTTGAAATAAATATCAAGCTCTTCATTAGGGTTACACCCAAAGCAATGCAATAAAAAAATTATGCACAGTGGTTTGACCTCAGGGAAATTATCTTTGACAAGACAAGAGTGTTTTCTTCCCTAGGAGCTTAGGCCTGGATAGTCTGTGTCAGGGGGCAGCTCTTCTGTGTGTGACGATGTCATTCCACCACCTAGCAACCCTTTAGGACAATAGGAACCACCCTAAGGTTTCCCACAGGTTCAGATCACGGATGCTTCCGTTGGTAGCCACGTGCTTCACAGCTGTGCTGCCACAGCTCCTAGAAATTGAAGTGCATAGGTAAGCAACCCACAAATATGTAAGTTTAAATTAGTCTCAATGAAACAGTTTCATTCTGTTTTCTCATAAGATTAATACTATCTAGTCTTCTGAAGTCTCGTCTTTCCCGCTAAATCTACTAGAAACCTCTGAGTAGTTACTGCTCTCTAAAGGCGGCAGACTAGTTAATAATATTGCCTGCTTTTAGGTATAAAGTACACCATACCTATTAAATGAGAAATTATAATGGGCACGTTTAGTGGTTTTTGTTTTTAATCAAAGGGTAATTTAATTTGGTCCTCAACTCTAGAAAAGCACCACACAGATTTGTTTGAAGCGATGGCTCTTTGAGTAGAAACTGTCACATGTGGATGCTCTGCTGGACTCCCAGAATAAGATTGGAAAGGAAGTGATTCTCTTCAATCCTGCTAGAGATCCGTTTGAGAAATTTACAAAGAAACCCAAAACTCAACACTACTACTAGTGTTCCCCTAATTTTCATCTGGCTTTGGGAAAAGGATCTTTTGTGTCTGTCTGTAAACTAACTGCTATAAATGAAACCAAAACTCAAGCCCAAACCAACTGCCATCGAGTGAATTCAGACTCATAGAGACGCTGTGTAAAGCCCGAGGCTGTACACCTTACCGGAGGGGATCGCCTTTTCTGTCTCCCACAGAGCAGCTGGTGGGTTTGAGTTGCTGACCTCCCGGTTGGCAGTCCAACACTTCCCAGAGATTCTTTTCCATCACTAGGAAGTCTAAAACTCCTTTTATCCTTCCATTTTGGAAGAGTGTCTGTCTGACAGTAAAGCAGTCTTTGGATCACAGTTGAAAGAAAAAAGGAAAAAAAAATCTAAACCAGGCAACACATGCATGCTACAACCATTCAGCTTTATTTTAGCCAAGCGTCCATTTTTACATTGTTTTCAGTTCATTTCGTTTTAACCATTGAAAACAGCTGTGTTTCTCAGAAGCCAGGGGACAAACAGGTCAAATTAAAAGCTTAAATGCATCATGATGGTGCCTAGTAGCAATCGCATAAACAGCTTGGAAAGCTGCCTTGGCATTGCCCACTCTTGATGGACTGTACTTGTCCGAGGAAAGGAGCACAGCAATTAAGGCTGTGTAGCTCTTTTAGCCTTTATGCAAATTTATTTCCTAGCTCCTAAATTGCATTTCCAAACAAGTGTAACAAATTTTTTTGCATCTAAATCTTGTTAAAAATGTAGTTTAAGAATGGCTAGTGACTAGTATGTTTTCATTTTTATTAGACACCTAATTTCTTTTGACAGAATTTTTTTTAGGGTTCCCTTAGATTTTTTTTCCCAGTAAGATAATCCATAAAGCCCTTCACAGTACTTAAAGATATGCTACACAGATCGCTTTCTCTCTTTTGCATGCTTTCCTTACCCTTTAGTCTGCTGGAGGTCAGGGCTGACATTCGTTAGCACTGTCGAAATATTCCTGAATTCTCTCCTTCCCTCACCCAGGCTTTTGCAAGATGAACAGAATCCCTTGCCCTTTTTAATCTCTAGAAGAGCTCTATGAAGAAAAGAGTGTGTGTAATATAATATACCAGAATTGAGTTAAAATGAAGAAGTTACTGGGTTTTTTTTTATTAAAGTTTAAGGAAAAAAACATCTTAACACGTTTCTTTAAATTATTTTAACCAGCTGTGGACAATGTGGTTTTTGTTGATGTGTATTATTAAAATACTCTAGTAGAATGTACATTTCCCTAAAAGCCTTATCATTTTAAAAGTTAAAAGGAAATAGAAGATTGAAAAGCCTTGTTCAGTTTTATCATGCTCTTAATTTTAAAGGGGTAGACTGACAAGTTACCTAGAAAAAGTGTTCCCTCCAGGAGTGATTTGAATCCGTTCTTATTTTTAAGTGACTGTAGCCATCCCAAGCTTTCAGTCTATGTTCCTCGTCAGTGTCTTCGGTGCTTTTTTGAGTATTTTAAAGTACATATTTCATTATCATTCAGCAACATGAGGATAACAGATTTAGTATAGCAACATAGCTGAAACTCAAACATTCATTTCTGTCCTTAATTTCAACATTTAACTCCCATCTGTTCTTCTCCCTTTTTTCTTTCATCTCCCTGTTTCTGTTGACCTCATGCTCTGACATTAAAGTGGTTGCCCTGAAAAGACTGCCCTTTTTGAGGAACAGACCGAAGGATAAAGACAAAAGGAAGGCCTGCTACCGTCGTTCCATGTGTAAGACTTTATGACAGTTGAGCTTCTTTGAAATGCCCACCCTGGCACCCATGACTAACCCTCGCTAACCTTTCTCAGGACTGTGCCCCGGTTCTTACTCTGTGTAAAGTGCAGTCTGCTTGTAATTAAAGGAGCTGGAGGAAGTTTTTCAAAAGCCAGCATGGAGTTTCCATTATATGTATGCTTCCTGATATATACACATGTGCATATACATGCATATGTGTGGTCATACTTCTAATAACTTAAATTCCCAGTGCTTTCTAAAAGTTGGCAGGAGAAGCCCATCATTTTATATGCCATAAAGATTTTTTTCCCAAAGAAATTTACTTAAGGAAGATACAGCAAAGCCATCATCAGCCTTAGGAATTTATTTTATATGAACCAGATAAAATAAACAAATAAAATGGCCAATAACTCTTAAAAATGGTTGTCATTCTTTCTACAGTAATACTTGGCGTTTTCTCTGTTATTTAAGTGAAATGGGTAAAGACATAATCACATTAAATGCCTGTCACTGGGGCTGTCATCTCTTGCAGGTTTTTATTGAGTGGTACACACTTCTTACTTGATTCATAAAGATGAGTAATCTCTAAAGTAACCTGCTCTGACCAAGGGCTCTTGGTCATTTTCAGTAACGATGCTCAATAAGCATTGCTCACCATCTTACCATTATTCATTCCATTTTTGTCACCATGAACTCACGTTTGAAGGCTTCTAATTATATTGCACTTCGCTGCGCAAAAGCATGGCAGTTGTGTACAGCAAAATTCTTTTTTGTTTTTTAAAGGAGGGCGGGGGTGAGGGGTGGGTGGGGATGGGGATAGGAAGTCCTTAATTGAACTGTATTATCTGGTAGCCTACTCACTTTATTCAGCTGAATGCATGTCATACATCAAATGACCTTGTGGTTATAGTTTTTGATTCTCATGTTCATTAATCCATAGACCAAAACTAAATCATTTGTAGTACAGAATAGACATAAGAACAAACACATTCACCATGCTGACTCATATGCTTTCATTTGCATCCCAGCCATGAATGACCTGGTGCAGTCCATGGTCCTAGCAGGAGGACAGTGGACAGGTAGTTCGGAACATTTGGAGGTTCCCGATGATATTGCAGCGGGTAAAAGGAGACAAGAACTGGGAGCTATGGCCTTCTCTGCTACAGCCATCAACTTTTCAACTGTCAGCTCTTCTGCAGGCTTCAGGTCCAAGCAGTTGGTTAATAATAAAGGTATAGGCCGTCTGCTCTTTGCACTATGATGTAACTGTTGGCAACAGGAATTTTAATTTGACTCTCCCTGTGTGTGTTTCTAAAGCAACAATCTGAAGTACTGACCAAAACATAATCTGGATTTTATTTGGAAGGATTCTCAAAATGTTTTAAATTTAAGAGGTTATACACAATGACTAAAATCTCTCCTAGGCCTCCATTCATCATAAGCAGCTAATGCACTAACAATAAAAGGAGAGGTAAACCAGGTAAAGAACGAGAAAGGAAGAAACAGAGAAGCTTTTTAAAGAAACTTAACAGCACTGCAGCTTCACACAGAGAATGTCATACAAAGACGCAGGCTCTTTGCTTTGCAGCGTCTCGCGGGAGAGGGTTTAGGGCTTCTGAGGCTTTCCCTGACCAGTCACCTTTCATCAGAGCTACTGGGCTCCTCCTTTCCAGTTCCAGTTTCTGTTTGAGTCTCTGATAATATGGTACCCCAAAAGAGATGTATTGCACATGATCCAAAAAGAAAGTAGTCCATAGCCTATGTCTATAGAATTTTGTGATGAACACTTTGGTTATAAAAACATTTTTATATCCGCTTTACTATTTTGTGTAGATACCACATCCTTTGAAGATATAAGTCCACAAGGTATCAGTGATGATTCCAGTACGGGATCAAGAGTTCATGGTAAGATTTGAATGTCAGAGAGGAGGTATTGAATGCAGAATGGGGATGCTAGGACGCTTGCATTGTGTAGGTGAATGTGACATTGCCAGCAAGCATGTGTTTCTAACTTGCATCTCCTAGTTGCCTCTGCCATTTTTCAAACCTAATTCTCTTTCTAGCCCTCTCTAAGGATCCCGCTTCATCTGTGTGTTTCTCTTTTGTAGTCATAGTCATTTATAAAGTGTGCCTGCAAAATACCCAACGGTGATTTTGTTGCCCTATTTTCTCAAAACAGAGGATGAGAGAGTTAAATTTTACCATTGGTTTACAATTGATAAGCTGATAAAAGATGGACATTAAGAAACTAAATGAAAAAAAATAAACTAAATGTTCGACAATGTTGACTATTTCAGATTTTAAAATTTCTATCTGGCAAATCAAACCTTACCAAACAAAATTCTTACCAACAGTGGGAGAACATGGCAGAAGTGATCCTTGTATCATTGGGGTCGTAAGAGCGATGGTCGGGCAGCATTAACTGTACAGTTGTTTCCCTTGTACGGACAGGAGCGCAGGACAGTCATTGTGCAGATGGCCCTCCTGCCCGTGGCACCTCGGCAGCGTGCAGGCTCCCTTGTCCCATCGGTTGTAAGTGACCTGATGACGAGGTTTTGGTTTTGGTTTGTTGTGCACGTCTCTCGGTTAAAACTGAAACCACCTTGGTGACCATCTAGTTTCATTTCACGTCTAAACTGCTCTTTGTCGTCTTTTCTCTGAATCTCAGCTGCGGTTTCAGGAGTGTTCTCTTCTGTACTGCCATACTAAGCCAACGGCCTGACACTGCCTTTGCTTCTCATTGTGAGGGTTAGCTGTGTGGGCATGCTCAGCCTGGGAACGTTCCATGGAGGCTTCCTCCAGGCATTCTGTGATCGCCATGTAAGAGTCTGTGTCGTCAGCGGGATGCTTACCACACTGTCTCCTGATTTCTCCACTTAGCTTCAAGACCAGCCAGCCTTGACAGTGGCAGAACGTCCACTAGCAATAGCAATAATAACGCTTCACTCCATGAAGTCAAAGGTAGGCTGTAGGTACACGACTAATGCACTCCACCCATTTCTAGTACCTCACGGTGGGAGTTGGGATGAAGTTTCTAGGATAAAAACTTCTACATCATGTGTGTTTGAAACGTCATTCCTTAGAATAGCGGTTCTCAACCTGTAGGCCGAGACCCCCTTTGGGGGTTGAACGACCCTTTCACAGGGGTCGCCTGATTCATAACAGTAGCAAAATTACAGTGATGAAGTAGCAACGAAAATAATGTTAGGATTGGGGGATCACCACAACATGAGGAACTGTATTAAAGGGTTGCGGCATGAGGAAGGTTGAGAACCACTCCTTAGGACATTAATGCTTTTCACATTGTAATTACAAGTGTATTTCAATGTATACAAAGGTAAAAACAGGAGCAGTTACTTTGATCTCACTTTTTCATGTAACAAAATATTTTTACTATAATCTTTCTACTGTAAAAATATTTGTAGATCTTTATTTTACTTACTCTGTTTTAACATGAAAATGGCTTACTTTCCTTTTGTCTTGATGCATGTGCATTTGAACTCCCACAGCAGATGTATTTTAAAGGATCTTTTAGCTTGGTTTTTCCACTGAAAAAGGGAGATTTTTCACAAATAGGACAGTTATGTGTGTCTGTGTGTTTCGAACAAGCAGTATGTGAATATGCGTCCTTCAATTATAAAGGGATTTCAGCTGTAATTGACTTTTATCATTATTGCTGTGACTTTATTACAGTGATCTGAGGGGGTGGGGGAAGGTTACTTATTCATTTTTATAATCATGTTCTTGTAGCCTATAGGAAAATAATGCCTGAAAATATGAACTGGCTTTTTTCTGACTTGAAATTTTTAAGAAAAACTTAAATTCTAAAATATAACTTGACTTTACAGCCGGCCCCTGATTGGGCGACTGTAGACAGTTGCCCTCACAACAAACTGGCACTCTTAGGAGCAGCCCGGCGCCACTGAGCTTCCTGTAGTGACTGCACACAGTCGCTCCACCCCTGCAGAGCTTTCAGGCTGTGTAGCCTCCTGAGCCCAGCTGGGGGCTAGGGACAGTTGGAGCACTCGGGCGTAAAACTACAGAATAAAATCCAAAAGAGCTTCTAAAGTTCTTGGGAATAGGGAATTAGAAAGGTAATGGGGTTTTTCCATGAAGTTTTTGAAGCACTCTTGCATTAAACATTTAATTTCATATTCTTTGTGGAATTTGCTGAGTAATTACATCATGTTTCCATTTGACGTCTATACCTATTTCGGTTTTTAAGAACCTAAGGTGGTTCACGTGGGATAAACAGATGAGCCTTCTGGAAAGGGAGGAAAGCAAAAGATCAGTAGACTTGTTAGCATCTAGAATTGCTTTTGGCTTTTAGAAATAATTTAAAATTCTTACAAGCTTTCATAGTCTTAAGTTGTGAGGTGTTTTAGAATTAATTATTTGCACCTGAACGTTCAACAATCTAATTTTCATCGTTTATTCATTCGTTCATTTACTCATCAAATGTACTAAGTGCCTGCTTTCTATGAGACTCTGTTTAGGCCCTGGGGGAGTGGGGGTGGCAAAAGCCAGCCTTTGCCCTTGTGGAGTTGACATGATTAGACAAAATAAGGAAGTTGTTAGATCTGTGAAAGATTAACATGGTTTGCTAAGCATTTCTAAAAAAAGATTGAGTTTGGCTATTCATGTAATAAGAACCCAGCCAACAAATATTATCTACTTAAGTAGTATTTATCTTGTTTCTATTTATGAACTCTTTAAAACATCACTTACTCCAAAAGCAGGTGCAGTTAATAACCACAGCCGTCCACCAAGCCACAGCAGTGGGGAATTTAGCCTGCTTCATGATCATGATGCGTGGTCCAGCAGTGGTAGCAGTCCGATCCAGTACTTGAAAAGGCAGACCAGGTCAAGCCCCATGCTCCCGCACAAAACGTCTGAGACATTGGATAGTCGAGCACATCACAGGATGAAAACTGGCTCTCCTGGCAGCGAAGTTGTCACTCTACAGCAGTTTTTGGAAGAAAGCAACAACCTTAGCTCGGCACAGGTTCGTTTCTTGTGTAATGAGCCTACCTCCCGTTTCTGAGTGTCTGCACTGAGTTGTCTTGAGTTGAGGGGGGCGTTCAGAGATCCTGGCAACGTTAGGTGTTACAACCTAGAATAATCAGAACGTGGTGACGTGGCTGTGTTCACTTGCCTGCTTTGATTTTTGTTTTTACACAGATAAAATCCTCAAGTCAAGAGAATCTTTTAGATGAAGTCATGAAAAGTTTGTCTGTCTCTTCTGACTTTTTGGGGAAAGACAAACCAGTTAGCTGTGGTCTGGCCAGGTCTGTAAGTGGAAGAACCCCCGGGGACTTTTATGACAGACGGACAACTAAGCCTGAACATTTTGTGAGACCTTGTTCTCGAAAGACTGAAGATACTCACTTCCTTAGCCCTCCAGGAAAACCTAGCCTGGGCGCTCAGGGGAAGGCCAAGTCAGTAAAAGAAACTTCTGTGCCACGACAATCAAAAGATAGTAACAACCCGTACGCTACGTTACCTCGTGCAAGCAGTGTCATCTCAACCGCTGAAGGGACCACCCGAAGGATCAGCATCCACGATTTTCTGACCAAGGACAGTAGGCTCCCTATGTCAGTTGATTCCGCACCAGCCACCGCGGCTAGCAGCGTGACTGCAGCATCTAGTGAGTACTGTTTCCACCAGGGGGCCCCTCGTGTACGTCACCGTCTAACACCCGCTTTAGGCTCCTGTGTACGTGGTGATTTACCTACAGACATGCCAACATCCTACTCTGAGTCTCTAAGTGCCCGGGCTAGAAACTCAGGGACAGAAAGGTCACATTTTCTAAGCCCAACTTTTGCCCCCATTAATATCTCTAGTGATTCATTTGGAGTACCAAATAAAGATAACTTAGGGTCATTTACTGTAACTCACACATCTCAGCCATTTTTATCCCTGAATACAGAATTAGTGAGTAATATAAGTGGATTCCCCCCGAGACCAAGCACGAAAGTAACTGATCAAGCTTTTGCCTCTATGAATACAACGGCACAGAAAGACAACAAGCCGTTTCCTGAGCATCAGGACCCTAGTAACAGTACCCCCCAGGTTTCTCTAGCTAGTGATGCCCTTAGCATTCCTGCATGCCTTCATCCTGGTGACACGGAAGCTGCATTGTTGGTTTCAGAGGATAATCAAACTGTTTGGTATGAATATGGTTGTGTATGATAAAACCACCCAGGGTAATACTGACTGTTGTTTGATATGCACTGTGCTTCACTAATCTCATTTGAAGGGCTGCTCAGAGAAGTGTTGTTGGCTGGGTTTGTGTCTGTATGTGGAAATCGTGGCATGGCGTTCCGCTGTACATGACGGCATGTATGTATGTAATTGTGAATTTGTAACCATGCCAAACCTGCATGGAGTCATCGCATTGATTGTTTTCTGCATGCTGTTAAAAGCCTTAACAATGTATGTTCCTCTTTAGCTTTTTGGTGTTGTTGTTTTGTTGCCAGATAAGAGGTGGTTAGCTTTGATGTCCAGAAGCATGTTAGAACCGTTGCATGAACTTACAGATCATATTTGATCCGTTGCTTTCAAAAAAACGAATGTTCCCCCTCTCTCCCCTCCCCGCCATCCCTCATCATCTTCTCTCCCTCTCTCCCTCTCCCTCCCTTTTTCTCTCTTCCCCTCACTCTTGTTCTTCTATCTTCCCTGAACATGTAGTTCATCTTGCACATGAGCAGAGCAAATACGGTGTGTTTTGTACAGGGATGTCATTGTGTTTCACATTTGTCTTGACAGGGAGAATAATTCAGTTAATGCTCCGTGTAGCACATTACTTAACCTGTATTTATGAAGCATTGTTGGGATTGAAGATTGTCAGTACTCTAAGCATAGTGTTTTCTTAAATGCAAACAAACCCAAGTTTAAATGTAATTTATAGAGTAACGAGGAGCATTTGTATTAATTGTTTCTCCTCTCCACTTTTCTTCCATGTGATAAACACAAGAACTCAAGTACTATCATTCCTTCAAAATGACTCTTTTTACGAGAATCAGTTAACACAGTACTTTTACTTTTTTTACATAGAGTTAAAAAAAATAAAGCAAATCATATTCAGTGTGTTGGAAATTTGTATTTTTACTTCTGTTGAAAAAGGATAGCCATTTTACAAAAAGGGCCTAGTCTTTTAGGCTTCAGAACTTTAGTTCAAAAATATTATAAAAATAATAGTTCTTGTGAGGGCTGTTGCTTCTCTTATTGGTTTATCGCTAAATTATCTGTGTCCTTAAATAGAATCTGTAAAAATCAGAACATTGTGCTGAAATGTGAAATTACAACTCACGCAAGTAAAATGTAACCATTAGATGCAGAAAGCATTTAGCTTGGGCCTCCAGTTGTCATAAACTTTAAAATTCTCCTTTTGTGACCATAGCATCTTGGCAACAGGGTCAGCTGAACTCCCAGAATGCTTCCAAAAACTCCTGCCTGCCCCCTGCTTTGTTTAGTCCCGAGGAGTGCCTCTTGGCTCCATTTCTAAATATCACTGAGCTAGCTACTCAGCTGTTTTGAAATAGGACTCCCTAAATGAGAGGGAGAGATTATTTTCATATCGATTGTTGATTATGAGTGAGACTCCAAACCATAAAATCTATGGAGAATCTTGGCTTCTGCTTAATGAACTTCCTCTTGCCTAATTAAATCTGTGTCCATTGTAGATTCAGTCAACCTTCTTCATGTGCCTCTGCAAGAGCCTTTGGAGACATGGTCCCCATCTGGTGACCAGGCTTCCTTCCGCCTCGCAGCACTTGCTGAACACGTTTCAGGGGCAGGGTATCAAATGAGCACAGTCCGACATTTTTCCCCGTTTTCAGCTCTGGCTAATACATTTTCTGTGCACGTACATCAGTCAACATTGTCAGTTTGCACACAGTCCTCACTGTTCAAGTGCTTTCATTGAACTCTGCCCTTGTCTCATGAGCTGGTCATATGAGCCTAGGTGAGCGCACCTCAGCCGTGGGAGATACTAATGCAGTAATTTTGCGGTGGTCGTTCTGGGGTTTTCCCTATATTGAGTCAAAGTTTCACTGTAACTCTGTAATTTTTTCTCCCCCTCCCCCAATGTTTTCATAACACTTAAAAACATTAAGTTGATTCTTTCACAGTGCATCAAAAAATCACCCACTATTATTACGTCATGTGCCATGTGATTCTTTTACAAAATGAAATTTACATAAAGGAAATAAATGTTTCCTGCTCAAGTAGCTGTGGTTATTATACATGCAGTGTTTCCAGAAGACTGTAGACACTGTGTCTGCAGTACCAACAGACCAGGTCGTGGGTCTGGAGGGCGCTCTGAGAATAAACACTGACTTCCCCCAAACCGCCCTCTGTTACAGAGCGAGTCTTAGCTGTGGGACTGTGCGGGGAACCCTTGGGGCACACAGAACCACGTCTCCATAGCACCGACCGTAAAGGAACCCTTATACCCCAAAACGGAACCATTGTGATTCCATGAAGCAGCTGCACTGAAGATGTCACAAAGGATTTAATTAAAAATAAAAGTTGAAGACCTAGTCCTCCAATTACACACACGATATACTGGAGAGCCTTTGTCTTCCTGGCCGTTACACCGTGACATCTGTGAGGCTTTGCTGGCTGGCACGGAGTCCCCTCAGGCAGTGTTAGCTGTAGTCCCTGCAATGAAGTACATTGACCGCCTATCAAATACTCCCAGCCCGTTTTATCAGTGAATAATATTTCATTGTGGATGCTCCTACTGCTCATGCAATATTTTATCTTAAGACTTTATATGACCATTTAGTGCAGCGGTTCTCAACCTGTGGCTCACGACTCTTTTGGGGGTTGAACGACGCTCTCACAGGGGTCACCCGATTCATAACAGTAGCAAAATTACAGTTATGAAGTAGCAACAAAAGTAATTTTATGGTTGGGGGTCACCACATGAAAAACAGTATTAAAGGGTCATGGCATTAGGAAGGTTGAGAACCACTGATTTAGTAAGAAAACATTGTAAATCTGCCCCGTGGAGGTGGGGGCGGAATATAACAAATAGGGTTGTTTTCAAAAGATCAGCCTTTTGTAAGTATATGATTTATAGCTGTGAAAATACAAATACCCCTCTAAGAAATGCGATAGCTATTTGAGTCATCAATTTCCCAGGCAGTGACTTTATTATTCAGTGACAGCTCATTAGTTTCTTATCTTCATGAATTGTATAGTAGCCTTTGATTAAGTAACATGAAATGCTTTTCTCCTGCAGATGTGGACACAGTACAAGAAAGCAGAATTTCAAAAAGCAGGTCTAGGGAGCAACAAAGCTCCTAATTCTGTTGCTCACTACAATGAAGTGGGGGCCAAGTGGTGAGTTTCCGGCTTAAAATGTAAATGAGCTTAGTCTCATTTATACAAACTAACCGAATTAAGAATGAGAACCAAGTGCACATTGCATTAACAGATGTAAATACTGCTTGCTTACCTCACTGACTTCCTGTTCTACTTTGTGGTGAAGCGAGATTATAGTTGGTTGCCAAGGTTTTGCTTGCCTGTGCAGGCACCAAACCTTAGAGAATTATTTTTCTCTTCTCAATTAAAACTCCATTTATTAGTGAATAATGTTTTAGGGATTCTTTTTTTTTAGTTCAAAGTCATTTTGGGGGGTAGAAATAGTACTTTGGGACAGTTTTCTTAACAATCGATGAGAGGGAGCCGAGCGAGCCTTGTGCAGAGAGCCACGCCAAGAGCAAATGTATCTCATTCCCTGTCACTTCCTCGTTTCCTTAGAAGCACCTGGTGCATGCTGTTCTTAGTGTCTGCTCTGTGTTTTATCTCTCTCATCTTCAAGCTTTTCTTATATTTTTCTCTTCTTTCTGCCTTCCAACTACATACAGAGAGAAAAGTGTCCTTCAGTTTCTCAGTGGGAAGCCTTTATTTCTGAAGTCACAAGACAGCCAACTGTAGGAATCATTTTTTAAAATATTTAAAAAGACTTTTAACAACCCTTCATGAATAGAGCAGGAAAGAATACAAACCTTGCTTCTCCTTCCTTGAATCAAGGAGCCTACTGGAATCCACTGCCAAACGGTGGAGGTTCCAGACATGGTGTCTGCACACGTACTGTTACGATCTGCTGACTACAGGACGTCCTTCGGCTAAGGACCTAGTGTTTTATGGTTTCAACAAGTACCCCATGAACAGCCTGCTTCTTTCTTTCATCGTCTGTTTATGAATTTATCCATGTTTGCTGAACACTAATGCTAATATTGGCCCAAATCTAGCCATTGTTATTTAGTTGTGTAAATCTAAATTAAATGCTGTAGTATTTTGTGGAATGTACCTATATAGCAAGAGACAAGAGAAAATTGTTTTGGCATGTCAGAACCTTATTTGGTTAGCAGATTGCATGTGTTGGTGCGATTTAAAAAGCCAATTATTTTGATGCACTCCAAAAGAAATTCAGTTGGTAAGGTAAAGCTGAGAAACCCTTACTGAGATAGGAGTTAAGAGAAATTTACAGTGATACTAATCTGCTTTTCATATTCCTCACTAAGCAACATTAAGCATTCACACATGGATTCAACAGAATCAGAGTGTTTTTCTGGAGCTTTTTAAATAAGGTGATTTCCAGCAAACAGCATTCCCAAGGTGGGGAAACAGAAACAAACTCTAACTCAATGACCCTAACTCATTTCCCTTTTTGGGTATTGAATACTATGTGTGTTTGATATTTTTTAACTTGAGAGCTGACTGTTGCTTAAGAAGTTTTCTTATAGCAGGAAAATAGTGTAAATAATTTACTATGCTCTGCATTTTGCCAGGAACTCATTTATTATTAAGGTTGTCATTTATTGAGAAAAATTTTTTGTTTTCTTTATAATATCACATTAAAGTTGATAACTATTGGTACTTTTGAAATATTTGTAATATTTGTTACCTTAAACATTTGGAAGAAGCACAACAAAGTAGCTTTTGTTAACCCAGGGAAACATGAATTTTTTAGTAGGTCCAATTTTATATCACAATTTTATTTTCTTAATTAAATCAAAAATGCATTGATACTTATTAATGCAAATTCATTATTTAACATAAATCTCAGCGTAATCTTAAAGGTCTGCAGTGAGACTAACTTTTATTTTTAACAGTGCACTTCTTAGGCTCTCATTGCCAGCTCTAAAGCTTTTTGAAACACTCAAAATCCCATGTGTTGTCATTTAGGAACTGTTTCATGATTATCCAGTAGCCATGAGACAGGTATGTGTGAGTGTCCCTCCCCACCCCACTCCCCGATAAACCAGTAATAGCAGTGTGGTGTTCATGGTCTACTTTCGGGAAAACCCTCCATTAAAATGAGCGAAGCAGCGAGTCTAGATGACCAGAAACTTCAGGAGAGGCAGAGAGCGAGCTTGGGTTGACTTGATGCCACCTTTACTTAGCTTTCACCACCATATGATGCTATAAAGTTAAATCACTTTGAAACTCTTGGATGGAAGGTGCTATGTAAATGTAAATACAAAGGAGTTTTACTAAAATACAAATATTTCACAAAAGACATATTTAAGACCTATTCTCTAGACCTTGAACATCTCTCTTTATCCTAACTCCCTGGATACAATAGCAAATTGGTAGTGGGCATCATGCCGGTCTAGAGAGCTTGCAAGCTTGCATGTTTAAAAAAAAAAAAGTATTTTTGGGGGGAATAGAAATGAAACAAATGTTTTACCTAATTACAGTAAGTAGGTAAGCTAGATTTATATATTAACTAGCATCTAATTTGCACAACTAGGACACATCCCAGGACAATTAGTGAGCTTTGGAATTTGATGAGTAGGTAAAAGGGGTACCCTAGCCTGACCTCTCCAGAACACTAACGTAGGGAACCTACTGACTTTAGAAGCATCTTTTATCCTCAAGTAGAACGTGCGTAGGGCAGCCTGTGAAAGACGGAACCGGAAAAGGACGAGGAGACAGTCAACCAAGGAATACTTTTGAGATCACAAAAAGAATATTCTCGATATCACTGCTTCTTCACACCAGTCCAAGAAGGGGCTAAATAATAACCACATGGATATTTTCTTAAAGTAATTCCTTTTTGAAGCAAACTTTGTAGAAAGCCACTCTTTTGGAATAAACTTCTTTGGCCAAGCAAATGGACAAAACCAGCCGGCGAAGGCAAGTTTGAAGTAGTGGTTACCAAAGAATGGACGGAACAGGTGTGTGGCACCTGTCCTGCCAGGCCTGGTGAAGAGCCCGTTTACAATCACTGTGCAAGTACTGAACGGTCGCCCTCACCAACGAAGTTGTCACAGCCGCACTGTCTTCACGGTCACTCAGAAGTGAGAAAGATGAGTTGTACCAAATCTGGGATTGCAACAGAGAGTGATAATGTACGCTAAATGACTTGTATTTCACTTTGCTTTGGAGAAAAGTGGTAGTTTGTGTTTGTGCTGTTCTTTTCAGCTTAGTCCCAGGATGTATTTTTTTTCCCTCTTAAGTCTTGACTAATACGAAAGGAGCCCATTTATAATAAAAACCTCAATGTACTTGAGATAATTGGGCAGTGGAAATGCCTTAAAAGGAATGCTTATGGATAAAGTTGCACTTGAAACACCCTTTAACAAGATCTGATTTTAAATTGCCTTTTTATTTTCTGAGTTCTCTCTTTTTCAATTTTTGTCATTGTACTTACACCTGTTATTAAATACCAAATCAAAAAATAAAGAAGCTGTAACATTTCTTTTAAAAACGAATGCAGATGAGACATCTGGAGTTGGACGTGTTCTGTTGATGACTTGACACCCCAGAGCCACAGAAACGCCCCCGGAGCAAAGATGACCCCCCTTCTGTTCGCTTGGTTTGCCTTTGTTCAAGACACTTGAGTTTCCAGTTTAGTTCTTAACTTTGTTTCACCTACGAAAGATCATTTGATTTAACCTTCAGTTATCAAACTGATATGAAAAGAAATAAAACGGTGGATTTTTTAATAACACGTTGTTAGTAATCATTTTAAAATTAGAACAATTTTAGCAGAATGTATTCTTTGTTATTTTTTCCTCCTTTGACCCGGAAAAGCTATTTCCAGACACCACTCATTACTTTGCACAATCCTTTTAGGATAATCTTGTCCTCCTCACTCTCGGCTGAGGTCTGGAGGGCTGAGCGGAAAGAGAAGGAAGTCTTCGATGCTGTCCATCCTAGAAGCCGCCTGCCTCCGTAGCACTTCCTGCACACACTAACCTGACATTCTCACGTTGGCAGACAGCATGACTATAGAGTTGGCTACTGACCTGTGTTGGGGGCCACTTAGTCTTCCTAGGAAGCACAGCTAAACCAGATACGATTCCAGCCTTCTGTTAACCAGTGCCTTCACTTTAAACACAGCTGCTTAAGAAATGCTTTTCTTTCCCCTTAGAGACAATACTGAGTAGATATAAACTAATATGGAATCTGCAAATAAGGTTATCAATTATGGGGAAAGTTTTTTCTGATCTGTAAAATGGAATAACCTGTTGTTTTTACTTTTGCTTTGTTAACTAACACATTTCTACCAGGTGGGAATTATTTTTTTGAGTGATCAAGCACAAACTGTGCTTTCAAGATTCTCTACATTGCCTGGTTGTTTAAGTGGTTCTTATAGAACCCTCCATCTTCCTGACTCTCTATTCTTGGCATATTGGATAGGGGAGGATAAGTAAAAATTGATAAGTAAAACTTGTACAGTAGATTAACATTTCTAAACTGTACTGAGACTAAAATTATTTTTAATGGTATACTGTATATTCTGTTGCTTACTTGTAAAATGTTATAGTTTAATAACTACAACCATTTTTAATCTTTAAAAAAATCATTTTATTGGGGGCTTGTACAGCTCTTACCACAATCCATACATCCATCCTTTGTGTCAAGCACAATTTTTAATCTTATTTTTAAGGTTTGTTGTCCAACAGGAGCTTACTAGCTTTTCACTGAAGTTTTAAAAACACACTCACTATGGAAAGCTTGTCGTTTAAGTTTTATAAAAAGTAAAACGACTCTTTAGCCCCCACCTCCCAAACGACGACTTAACAATGAATATGCCCTTATTACTATATTCCTCTTAAAGGGGCTCCTCTAAAGATGCATAGCCTCTGAAACCATGTTGGGTCCCTGTGAATCTGAATTGACGATGTCAGTGAGTTTGGCCTTTATATTCCCTTTGGTTTTTCACCTAAAGTTAAAATTACCACGTATATGATTTTATACACGGTTTTATAATTTTTCAAGTATAAGAAACACCCCAGAGAGATACAAAGCAGCTAATAATTAGAAATAGTATAAATTTAAGGAATTCCTTCCAACTGATTTCACATACTGGCGCTTTTCTAGAAAATTTACCTGTGCCCTGCCCTGCCCCCAAACAACAAAAAAGTTTGTACTCTAGCCCAGAATCCAGGATGGAGTCTATCTTGCAAGTTTTGCAGCTGCCTTGGCCCCCCCCCAGGGTGGCATCACCCACTGCCACTGCGAATCACTTTGGAGGAAGACGGGGTGTGCTGAACACTACAACTGCCTCCATGCATCATCTTTCTGAACACAATTCCTTGAACATGAACTACTCCCCTATGTGATAGTCACCAAAGGTACTCAATGTTCTCTCCGCTTTTAATGCTTGATGTAAATTAGAAACCAGTCTGAACATGAGCATCAGGGGTGTTTTTGAACATTAGTTTTTATCAAAATCTATTACTATGGGGTCATGTCCTGTTTCCTTCACGAACGTGAGGAGGTCTTCGGGGCTCAGTCCCATGGTCGCAGAGTTAGTCATGGGATGAAAGAACACCTTTTTGTGTCCACCTTCCAGAAAGGCAGAGTCCAGAACAAATTTCACCTCTCCACTATCGCAGAAGAGCGCCAGTGGAGTGGCACAGCCTTGGCCAACTTTCAGTTTCTCCAGCATGGCCGCTTCATCAGCAAACCTCAGATTTCCACTCCCAACACCTAACTCCTTCGCAAGATCATTTAAATTAACTTGTCTGTCATGAAGAACTGTCACCAGCCAGTAGCCTTTTTTCTTTTTGTCTTTGAGAAATAAGTTCTTACTGTGTGCTCCTTTCAAATGTTGGATGTGAGGCATCATTTCTTCGACTGTGAACACCTGTAAGTCAAACAGCACACCATGAGAAGTGTAGTTACTAAAGACAGCTCGAGCACACGGATTTCGCTTCCTGCGGAGAGCCGCAGGGGAGAGGAGCTCTTCCTGTTTTTAATGCCTCCGTCAAGAGCCCAGTGGGCTCCCCTTAGGCAAGCTCTTCCATTTTCTTCTTTTTTTTCTGTGGGGGTGGGAAGGTCCTTTGAGTTGACAGCAGCACCCGATTCCTATGCATACGTATCACCCAGACCAGGTGACAGCTTCTACTTTACAAATGACGTAATCACGGCGATGAGGAAGCGGAGAACAAGAATCCCTCCGCTCGAACCCAGAACACTTCCTTTAAGCAGAACAAACAGCAAACAGTCTGAGTGCCTTTGGGAGACTCAAAACTCAGGTATGTTGCTATGTGTGTAAAATGGGGGAGAGAAAAGATGTCGATTTTGCAAGCTGACTCGAGATCTAGCCCAAGTTACAATCCCTTGTAATAGAATAGTTAAGCAATAATCACAGGTATTAAAATATGGTTTTGATTAAAGTCAAATCCTGTAGGGCACTTAGCTCTCTAAAATAAAGGTCATTTTTCGAGTTCCTTAAAAAATCCCATGGAGCCTATCAGATCGGAGAGTGAGCCAGCAAATCTCTGTCCACCACAGATAGATGGCATCAAAGTCAACGAGCTGACAACCATTTTATACTGAAATTACCATAGTTCTGATGTGCTCCTAGGTAAACATCTGTGTGTTGAATAAAAGTACTGATGCCATTCAGCTCTGGAGACCCTCTACATACGGGAGCATCTTTCCTGTAGGGTAACAGAATTGACCAAGAGTATTAAAATATATAGCGTATTCGAAGTCACATGCTAATTCAGCCAAAGGAAACCATTTCAAACTGCCTGAACGCACGACATAAGTTTTGTCCCCAGAACCGCAGGGGCCATACGGGTCCTACATGAAATGAGATGAAACCCACAAAAAATCCAGGAGGCCGTTGCAAGGAGCAGCCCTACCTGTGCCTCTGGTGTTGCCAGATTTTCGGGTTTTGATTTTTTTTGAAAACCGTATCCAAATGATTTCTGTTGTCAGTGGTTAACCCAAAATTTCAGTTTAAAACACGAAAACCGTTTTCATTTAAAAACAACGGGTAACCCTGTGTGGGCTGAACAAAAACACCTGGGGCTCAGCCGGAGCCTTCTGTTGGTCACCTCCACCACAAGGGCCGCTTTCAGAGCCCGTGCTGGGATCCTCCGTCGCGTCCAAGGAAAGAGATTGCATTAGATGACGTCCCGTGGGGTGGCCTGCCACAGGGTTTTGATGCTGGCGCCGCACCTGGGGAAGGGGCAGTGTGGGTTCCAAGCAAACCAGAGGTGTGCTTACCCTGCATGGGGGCTGGGGGGAGGTGTGGGAGGTGCACAGTGGTCAGTCTTCTGCATAATGGTCATGGTGCAAGTCACGTTTAACACTGCAAGCTCTTCCTAGGGAAGCCCTGAGAGATTGTAATCCTCATTTAGGTGACCACCTGTAGCAAATGAAACAAGATGCAGAGACCCTTTGGAAGAACTCAGCCACGTGCACATCTGCCTATTTCTGAGAACTGTGGAGAGATGGGGGCACAACGCGGAGCTTAAGACTCCTCACAAAATGGTAAACTCGCAACCTACATACACAACAGCTGTACGGCCTTGGGCAAAATAACAGTTCCTTGAAAATAATAACGTCTACTTTAAAATGTTGGCCTACAGGAAATGGCACAGAAAGCTCACCTATAGCGATTATCGCTAGCCTTGGGGGAACCGTTCCACGGAGTAGCTAGCTACGAACGCACACCCCCTGCACTCACCAGGTTAAAACGTATGAAACTAATAAGACATGTACATTTCTGTAACCTCTTCTGGGGGGGTTCTTATTTCTTGTCCATGATGCAAAAATAAGAGTTGAGATCAAACGGACCAGGAAGGCAAAATGCCAAACTCCCGAACCTCCGTGCCCGCGTCGGATCCGCTTCAGAGGACGTGCGGCGGCGGACACTGTCGCCGCTCAGCCTGGCCCACGTCCCACACCAGGCTCTTCGCCGCCACGTGTTGCACTGGTTCTCCACGTGAGCTACCGCTCGGTGCGTTCAGTCCTGAACTGTCCCTGTTGGGTGGCCCTCCGTGCTCCGGAACCCAGGGAGTGCCCTAGAGCCGACTGCACGGCGCGCTGCCCCTGGGGACACGGTCCGGCCGGCCTCTCGGGGCCGCACTGCGGGGCGCTCACCTCCGGGTGCTCCACCACCTCCGTGTGGATGTCCAGGGCGCCGAGCCGCCGCTCCAGCTCCGCCCGCAAGCCGGCGCCCGCCATGCTGCAGCCGTCGTAGCAGGCGCTGACGTCCCCGGGGGCGGGGGCGCGACTTCCGGCCGTCGTGGGCGGAAGTGCCTGGGCGGCGTCCTCCGAAAGCGAGCGTTGCCTGGAGCGCCGGGGCCTGGCGGGCGCGCATGCTCATTACCTTCCCAGGACCTCCGGGAGGGCCCTGCGTCCCGCCCCACCCCTGCCTCCCCGGTAAACCTACCCGGTGAGAGCCCTGGGGGACTCACAGCGGTGGTTAAGCGCCCGGCGTGGACGGTTGGAGCCCGCCTTCCCCTCTGCAGGACAAAGGGGAGGCGTCAAGGTCACAGCCCTGGAGACCCCAGGAAACTACGCCGGCCTCGCTGAGAGCAGAGCTGCCGCCTTGGGGTGTCAGGGAGCGCACCCACACCGTGACTTCGGGATCCCCATTCTCCTAAGACTTCAACTTGGTGGATCGCAATTCCACATTTTTAACCATTTTGAAAGTTCATTTTTTGTGGTGGTTAATCTCCAACTGCCTGGCAAGCAACCTAAACCTCTAAACCCAACCCACGCCAGCTGCCATCAAGTGGACTCCGCCCCTATAGGACCCTATAGGTAGAAGAACCGCCCCCGTGGGTGTCCGAGTCTGCAGCTCTTTATGGGAGTAGAGAGCTTCATCGTTTTCCCACAGAGTGACTGACGGGTTCAAACTGCCAACCTCGCGTGTAGCAGCCGAGCAGTGATCACCGTGAATTCCTTGAATCACTTTGGAATTCTTCGAGGTTTCTACTTCATATTTATATACATGCTCAAACCCGAACTTAACTGGTAGCAGGTCAATTCAGACATCCAGCAGTGGTTCTCAACCTTCCTAATGCTCAGACCCTTTTCATACAGTTCCTCCTGTTGTGGTGACCTCCAACCATAAACTTACTTTCGTTGCTACTTCTTAGCTGTCATTTTGCTACTGTTATGAATTGGGCGACCCCCAAGGGTTTACAACCCACAAGTTGAGAACCGCTGCTAGGTAGGGTTTGGGTGGCTATAAACCATTATAGGAACAGAAGTCTGGTTTTTCCTTCCCTTGGAGCACCTGGTGGGTTCAAACTGCACACTTTGTGGTTAGCAGCCTAACGTGTAACCCACTAATTCACCAGGGTTCCCTAAATAAGCCACCCCTCTTGGTGGGGTCTCTTCCATTTACAGGTAAGTTGAACATTATCCTAGAAAGCTGTGCATATCTAAATAGAAGGTGAGATGAAAGAAAACATATGCTTACTGCAATCTGCGTCTTAAATACTTGGTCTACCTCCTCCCACCCCCACTCCATAATCATGGGGTTTATCAGGATGTGAACAGGTTACAAGTCAGGTTCGGAAACATTACACATACAGTTCTTTTATCCTCAGCACCTCTCTCAACATCAGCCACTTGGCACTGGCTCTGCTCAGGCAAGTGTTCCCAAGCTCCTTTAGTACTGCTAGATGCCCAAAGCTCACCCCACTCTGCAAACCAGACTCCTACCCAAGGACACTCCGCTGTGCTCTTTCCACGGTCTGGGAAGCCTGCCTCTCAGTCTCATGGTCTCAGTGCAGTGGCCACTGATGCCACTGCCACTTCTCCACACAAGGGTCTCAGGTGCTTTCTGCCTGTGACTTTTCTTTCTTGGTGATCCTTAGATTTTAAATTCCTGCTTCCAACGTGACCTGCTTTAAGGCAGCACAATGGTAAGACTGATCCGTGAAACCTGTCGTGGAACTGTTCTGAGTGCAGTGTGGGTTATATGTGCCATTTTTTTAAGGCATAGTGCCTGCCCTCAAGGATGTTAAAATCCAGCTAGGAAGATTGAAACAGTCACAGAAGACAAGATGCCCAGTGGCATGATGGGACTGCTTTGGGGAGTCTGGAAGAGAGGCACTAAGACTAAACAGTGTTCCCCGGAGGCTGCTCAAGGTTTGGAGACACTCCACGCCTCCTCAGTTCTTGTCCGCTCACAAGAAAGATTTCAGGGGAGGGACAAAGGTTTAGACCAGAGCCAGAAAAGGTTTGAACAGAAAGTGTGAGTTTATTGAAGGGGATACTTTGGAAGTTCAAAGGCGCTTAGCTAGTCAAAGAGGCTGGGTAGAATGTAGGGCGGAGCCTTTCATTCCACTAATGTCAGGCCTACCACTGTTGGCTGGCTTTCTGGCCGGTCCTCGGCCACTGTCTCATTCTCTGTGCTGTGCCTCCTTGTTCCAGGTACGTGTGTGCCTGCACCGAGCACCCAGACCTCACGCTGTCTTCTTGTCTCCAGACCCCAAACCCGAGTGCATTCATTCCTTGTGGGGGTGTTGTGAGCATCCTGTCTTTCTGCCACCATCCTCTGCACTGTCTGGGGTCTCTTCCATGGGTGGAGAAATGGTAAACCTACCTTACCCACCCGCTCTTCTCCTTTCTTTGTGCTGGAGAGGGAAGCAGGTCTCCCCTCTTCTTTGTGTTTTGTGTAAGGTGCCTGCCAGCCTCGCCCCCCTCCCTCTGCCGGGCTCCGCCTGGCTTTCAGCAAGAAGGCACGTTAGGAGACAGTGCCGAAGGCGATGCCCACGGGAAGAATGTTCGTCAGGAAAGAGACTCCAGCTACGGAAACGCCAGCTCTTGACAACTTCGTGGGGCTGGGAACCCATCGCAATGATCTCCACATCACCCCCTTCCTGGGGGACGGACAACAGAAAAGCGGGTGAAAGGAGACATTGGACAGTGTAAGACATGACAAAATAATAATTTACAAATTATCAATGGCTCATGAGGGAGGTGGGGAAAATGAGAAGCTGATACCAAGGGCTCAAGTAGAAAAAAAATATTTTGAGAATAATGCTGGCAACAAATGTACAAATGTGCTTGACACAATGGATGGATGGATGGATTATGATAAGAGCTGTATGAGCCCCCAATAAAATGATTTAAAAAAAAAAAAGAAAACGTAGTGGGGAAAGCACGTCACATCCAGGTCATTAAGATCTGACCCGCTGATAGGAGAGGCCTCTTGTAGCAGACAAGGCCAGCTCCTGCACAAATGGTCCCACATGCCCTTATGCTAAAGTACCAGGAATACCCAGCGACAAGGGGTTCCTAGACAAATCCATCTGTTTTATTTACACACAAAATCAATCATTCAAGAGAATTTTATTGTGAGTTAATACCTAACCACAAAGGGGCTTATATGTAAATCTGCTTTATTTACACATAAATCATCCAAGAGAATTTTATACTGAGCTCATTCTTGAGAGGGGGGAAATGAGGAGCTGATATTAAGGGCTCAAGTAGAAGGCAAATGTTTTGAGAATGATGATGGCAACAAATGTACAAATGTGCTTGACACATGGATTGTGATGAGAATTGAACGAGCCCCCAATATGGTGATTTAAAAAAAAAGGGTTACATTCTCTATATTCAAAAAGTTGTGAAATGCTCACAATTTTTTTTATGCTCACAATTTAGTAAGTTGAAAAAATAAATTATGAGAGAGTCTATGAATCACAATCAACTTGAATGGCCACTTACAAATGCAACAAAGTTATGGCCCGATTTTGTTCTGAGAAAAGATATACCCCTGTAACAGTGACTTAAACAAACACAGCCCCTAGTATCACCATCCTTTTCTGTCCCCACTTGAGGAAAGTGAGTTTCTAGAAGTCCACGTCCCACCACTGGTGGGTCTGTGGAATGGTGGCTGCGTGGGTTTGGCGTGACAGTGGTCGTGCTTCAGCAGAGCTTCCAGACGGGGAAGGGTTAGGCAACAGGACCTGGCAATTCACATTTTAAAAGTCAGATTCAAAGGTGCCTAATGGCGGGGGTGCGGGGGCGGCGGGGCGGAAAATTGGCAGGACAAAGAAGAGCAAACGTCCTGGAACTGATTGTAGGGACGATTGCACGTTCTTGGGAATGTGGTTGCATTATTGAAATGTGGGACACGTGACGTATGTAGGTGAAAGTGTTCTAAATAAACAGGCTAACTTTTTGAAACTGGCCAATGAGAACCTTATCAATACCAACAGAACAATGTCCGATGAAGGCCAGAAGATGAACCC